CATCTCCATCTCAGGATTCGTTTTCGTCTCCGACTGACTGCCAGAAATACTTGCAAAATAATTAATCACAAAAATGTGCGGAAAAAATGCCAGCGAGGAGGAATTTAAACAACTTTTTTAGTTACCTCCTGGGACTGTTTCTGTTTTCCCATCTCCCATTCCATTTCCATCTCGAGATCCCAGCCCAGGTGCACAGGCACAGTTACAGGACTTGGAAGCCGTTTAGTATTTCATATTCAGGGATTTTGGGGATTCCGCCGACGCATCAAAGCGAACTTGGCTTTTGATGTAAATGCGCACAGGAAGTTGATGTTTTTTTTTTTAACGCTCTCACTCAATAATTAACAGGACCCATGTCCATGAAGGAGGTGGACACGCAGATGTTCAATGTGCAGAGCAAGAACAGCAGCTACTTCGTCGAGTGGATTCCGAACAACGTCAAGGTGGCCGTCTGCGATATTCCGCCGCGAGGCCTCAAGATGTCCGCCACCTTCATTGGCAACTCGACGGCCATCCAGGAGATATTCAAGCGCATCTCCGAGCAGTTCACCGCCATGTTCCGGCGCAAGGCCTTCCTGCACTGGTACACCGGCGAGGGCATGGACGAGATGGAGTTCACCGAGGCGGAGAGCAACATGAACGATCTGATATCCGAGTACCAGCAGTATCAGGTGCGTTATTACAAAATATATTTAATTTTTAATAGGTTAATCTAAATTTCCTTAATTTCTTTAGGAAGCCACCGCCGACGACGAGGTGGAGTTCGATGACGAGCAGGCCGAGCAAGAGGGCTACGAGTCGGAGGTCCTGCAGAACGGCAATGCCGAGTAGCAAGCTAGAAACTAACACAACTGTAGCTGTTTTCTGTATACTATTTTGTAAATTATTTGGCCCCCCATTCAGGGCTTCAAATAAATATTTAGTAAATATAGTAAAAAAAAAAAGACTTCCTTTAAAGTTCGAAATTTAAATCCCGAAAGTACGTCTAAAAGTTTTATTGGTTGTACTTGGTTTCCTGAACCTACAGTGGGTAATTGACCAGCACATCCTGGCGAGCCAATTCCAGCAACATGGGATCGTCGAAGAATTTGTTAATGGACACATCCTCGGAGAGACCCTTTCGGCGGCGCGTCTTAATCATAAACTCGCGCGCCAAGTGGGATGCCTGCTGCGGCTCCAGGGGCCGGATAATGATGCTCTTGTCCAGCGGATCGCCGGGAACTATCTGCCAGTGATGGAAGACCGAAAGACAGAAGGCCTGACCCTGGGTGTGCGTCCGGAGATCCGTCTCAAATCCAAATGAATCGATGGCGGGTATGAAGGCTTTGATCGTGTAGATGGGGGAACCCGAAACCGGAGCATCCTGCGTTACATGTCCTCTGTAGAAATGTGAATGCGATTAGTAAACTCACAGAAAATAAATGGTAATGGTCAATTTGATATTTTTTAAAGATCTAGTTATTCATATTATTTTGATATGAATAAAGATTATGTTAATCTTTTTTTATATTATTTGTTAAAAAAATAATAAATTTGGTATTTTTTATGACATGATAAAATATCATGTTGATATGTTTCGATCTTAAATTTGACATATTCATATCATTTTGATATGAATAAAGATTATGTTAATCTTTTTTTATATTTTTTGTTCAAAAAATACTAAATTCGGTATTTTTTATGATATGATAAAATATCATGTTGATATATTTGAATCTTAAATTTGACATAAATCATATCGGTTTTTTTTCTGTGCTGATACTCAAGGAAAACAAGGAAAACTCACCTGCGTCTAGCCAGCACAGTGTAAACAGCAGACACACAATCCGCTGGCGCCTGAACCTCCACAAACAAATATGGTTCCATCAGTCGCGGCGTGGCCATCAGAAATGCAGAGTAGGCCACGCGACGGGCCGTCGGAATGATCTGTCCACCGCCACGATGCAAAGCCTCGTTGGCAATGACTCCGTCGAGGATCTTGAACTTGACATTCCGAATGGGCTCCTCGCAAAGCGGCCCCTCGCGCGTTCCCCACTGGAAGCCCTGGACAATCGAATCCTTCACGGCCGTCAACAGGTTCTTGTCCACTTCCGAGGGCAGCGTATCGTCCACCAGGATATTCGGACCCGTTGAGTCGGGACCAAAGGCCCAGATGGAACGCGCCGCCAGCAGATCCCAATCGTAATTGACCTGGAAGAACTCTCCAATGCGCTTCTTATTCCAATTTATGCAGACAGTTCCGTTTTCTATGTCCTCCGCCAGACCCTTTTCCAGTGGCTCCGAGATCATGGTTATCTTGTTCTTCTTATTCGGCGTCTCGGCGAAACATTTCAGCGAACTGGTCTCCACAACTGTTTCGCAAAAGGCCACCACAGGATCCGCCACCTTAATGTCAATCTCCGAGTACATTTTCCGCAGGTCGTGCATCACGCAATCCAAGTACAATTCGCCAGTTCCGAGGATTACATGCTCGCCCGATTCTTCAACTCGTGTGGAAAGAAGTGGATACGATTTGTTCACCTTGCGGAGGCCATCCAACATCTTGGGAAGCTCGGAGGGATTCACAGGCTCCACGGCAATCTTGATGATGCTCTGAGTGTTGAACTTGAGTGGCCGGAAGATGTAGAGGTCCTCGGGTACATTAATATCCACAATTGTTGAGGTTTTGACAATGCACTGATCGATGCCCTCGATGAGCACCCAATTTCCGGCGGGAACTCGATTTAGTTCCACCTTATAGCGAGACTCGAATACCCAGAGGCGGCCCACCTGCAGTATTCGCGAATCCTCCTCATCCTGCAGCGTGTAGTTCTCGCCCAGCACGCGCACCTCCTGGCCAGCATGCAAAGTACCAGAGACAATCCTAGCCAGCACTTGGAAGAAGGTGCAGTCGTCGTTGGGATACATTTTCGAGCTGTGCACCATCAGGGTACCGTACTGATTGCACGAAATCATATCCCGGTAGATGTCACCCTCTTTGGGTCCCGTATAAATGTGGTCCACCTTTCGCTTGGCATTTTCCAGAGGAGATTTAATGTGCTCCACGCACATGTCAACGAAGCCGCTGCAGTCGCCCATGAAACGATTGCAGACGAGTCGCAGCAAGGGTCGTATATTGGACTTCATCTCCTCCTTGGAGACGCGCACATTCAGCTCGGCCAGGGTGTCCGCCAAAGTGGTGTCCACATCGCCAACCACCTGGGCGATCAGCTTGTACATGGGCTCCAGAATGAACTCCACAAAGCTGCGCTGGGCCGAATTATGCGGCTGCTTCTTGGAGAATTTACGGCTGTTTTTTGATAATAATTATTATTTTATAAATATTAATAATTGATTTAAACACCTACGTTTTGCTGTTGAAGTACATATCCCCCCAGAGGCGCTTGGCAAAGTCCAGGTACGCCACGCCCTCATAAGTGTCCGCATAGAGCTTGGCAAAGGATTTCAGGGTAAAACAAAAGCCGTACAAAGAACTGGCAAAGCAAACGTTGCCCAGGATGGGCGAAACTAGCAGATTATCATCCGCAGCGCCATAGGTGCTGTAAGAAAAATGTAGATTAGAAAGATTAGTAAAGTAAATCAGTAAGATATTTGATTTTACTCACCTCAGCAGTCCATTGACCTCTTCCACAATGTGTTTCAGCTTAAAATAGGCGTCCTGGGGCGGCAACTTGAGCTCCAGGATGAGGCGATCAATCTGAAATATAGAAAAAACAATTAGAAAGTCTCAAAGCACAAAGAAAAACCCCCACCCACCTTGTTTATGCACACGGTGATGGCCTGGCGCTCCTGCACGGCATGTTTTAGCAGCCGTTCCGTGTTCAGCATGACGCCCTCGGCGGCATCGATGAACAACACCACACCATCGCACATTCGCATGGCCGCGGTGGCCTCGTCCGAGAAGTTGACATGCCCCGGGGTGTCGAAGATGTTGAGCAAGTAGCTCTTCTGCTTGACATCCTGCAGCACGAGAGTCACCGGCGTGGCCTTGATGCTGCAGCCGCGCTCCTGTTCGGTGAACAGGGTGTCCGTGTAGCGCAGCTGACGCTCCTCCATGTTCTCGAACTGCGGATGCGTCTGCCGGATGAGGCAGTCGACAAAGGTGGTCTTGCCATGATGCAGGTGGCCAACTAAGGCCACATTCCTGATCAAAGGTGGTGTGTCCATCAGATCGGCCATGAACTCCATATCGTAGGTGGTCTCCTGCATGTCCTGCTCCTTGATCTGGAACTTGAGCTTCTTCACCGGCTCGATGAGCGGCTTGTCCAGCGGCTGGGCGTCCTCCTCCTGGACAATTGTCTCCACATCCGGCCCGTAAACCTCAACGGCCGAGGGATAATAGCGTTTATCCTCGTGCAGAACCACGGCGGTCACTTCCTTGTCCTCGTCCTCCTGCGGCTCCACTTCGTCCTCGTCCATGGCGTCCTTTTAAAGGGAAAGTAAATGATTTTATATACTTTTTATAGCTTTTACACCCATTTTTACCTCTGGATCATCCTGCACATCGGGTTGCCCGTAAATACTCTGGTCATCTTCCTCATCGCTGTCTAAATCGGGGCCAATATAGTTGCCAAACTCATCGTACAAATCGGAATCCATGGTAAATGCTGAAAAATATACATATTTCAATATTTTCATTCAAGTTTTACAAGCGGCGTCTCAGAAAATTGTAAACTTTCACCATATCTTAAATTCATGATTCCAATGGATTTTTATTACATCCAACTACTCACCAAAGGTTTAGACACCTTCTAATTAATAATTCCTCTTAGAAATCCAATAAAAACAGCCAATAATAAATGATTTTACAATTTTTACACAAAAACGCGGATTGCAAACACGCTGTTCTTCTTCTTCTCAAAAATCGAACAGCTGTTAAAACGCCGGCATTGTTTACGGCATTGCCAACACAAAGATATTAAGAGACGTTTGCAGCCCTGGCGGCAACTTTTGAAATTCCCAGCTCATTAGACGTAATTAACGTTTTTCCAGCAGGTAAAGCAGGTAGTTTGCGATTTGCCGAAAAAAAAGGTATCCCTCAAGGTTTATATTGCATTGCAGTTGCCCAAAGTAATTAGTCGAAAGTGTCAACCGAATGCGTCAGCATCATTATGAGGAAATTGTGTTTGCTTCTTTTGATGGCACATTTTGTGGCCTCCAGTAGAAATTTAAATGAAATTCTTGATCGTGACGATTGGATTAGCATGGCCAAAGAATACATTAGGAATCACAAGCCTTATACAGCAAAAATCTACGAACCATACCAGCCGCAAGTTGTGACTTTTACCAACCCATTTAAAGGAGATTTTTGGGATACGACCACAATAGCAAACATTGTAGAATCTACAACTTCTCCTCCGGATGAGACAATTAATTACTCCACTGAGGAAAAAGCCACCACAACCAGCAGCACTGAGGATACTTCCACATCGCCGCCTGAATTTTCAACTACGGAATCGATTTTTGTAACTTCTGAAACGCCTGAAACAACTACAAGTATTTTTGAGTCGACAACTTTGCCGGAATCAACCACAGAATCGAATGATTTTACAACAGAATCAAATGAATCCACCACAAAAGATCAGAGTACAACGGAATATATTTTAGATTCTACAACAACATCAAGCCCCGATTTAACCAGTACAGAGGCTACGGATTTCACAGAAACAACCAGTGAACCATCTTCGGATTTTACTAAAGAAATAAATCCAAGCACTACAGAAATTCCACAATCAACGACAATCACTGAGGATTTTACTACACCAACAAGTACTACAGAAATTAATCCAATCACTACAGAATTGCCGGAATCAACTACCCAATTTAACGATCTTACAACAGAATTGAATGAATCAACGACTGAAATATCTTCAGATGATCAGAGTACAACGGAAACATTAGAAACCTCCACAGAAGGACTTGTATTAACCACAGAAAACCTGGAAACCTCTACATCCCTGCTGGAAATTATTGGCACAACTCCGGGCATAGAAACTACAACATCTTACCTAGATACAGTGATTGATAGCACCGAATCTGGATTTAATTTAACAACAACTGAAATAATTCCAACTCAAAAAGAAACCACAACAACCAGGCGATCGAATTTCGTAGAGGATTTTGTAAGACCAAGAAAGAAATTGAAGTACACTTCAGACACAGAGCCTGAACTTTACTGGTACTAAAGTTATTATTAAATAAAATAAAAGAAATATAAATAATTTAAATTTTATTTATGGCGGGGTTTTTATTTTAGTCTGCTGTGGTATTTTTAGTATTTTTATTGAAGTAGTTGGCAACGCGGTTGAATATAAGAAGAAGACAAGAAACACATTTTTGTTTTGTATTTTTAGATAATTTTGCCAATTTCCTAAACTTTATAACATAAATATGAGTTTGGCCAACATAAAACAGAAAGAAGCCAAGGGCAAGAAGAAAATGCTGCCCAAATTGCGCACTGTTCTGGCCAATCCGTATAAACAGCACAGGTGAGGCAGCCAAGAAAGGCAAAGTATACAATCAACAGGTTGTCTTTTTCAACTTTTAGCCCTGTTTTGTCGGATGAAGAAGTGCAGCAGCTTAGCAAGATCCTCCAAAGGGCCAAGGAAGACAGCGGCGGAGAATCGAAATCATTTGCCACTCGATTTGGCATCAATCTTGGCCTGGAAAGCTCCTTGAGGGTCATAAATTCCCAGCGTTTCTCCTGTTTGCTAGTTTCTTTGAGCCTCCGACCAGCCCATCTCATCCGTTTAATCGCCACCAGTGCATCCGTCAAGGTTCCCACCGCACCCATCTATGCACAGCCCAAACTGGAGGAGCTTACTCAGGAGATCTTCGGGGTAAGGGCAGTATGTTTGGCCTTGCCTTTGGATTTGGGTGCTATAAGTACGGAGCTGGAGCAGTGGGTTACTGCCAGAAAAAGGACACCCACACCTGGCAAGAAGATAATCCCAAAAACCCCCAAGAAACCCAAGAGGAGGCCTATAATAACCCAACCTCTTGAAGAGGAAAAGAATGTGCCCCCTACAAAAGTGGAAAAAAAGGATTTTGATGATGATTTCATCTCCTTCTCGACGGAGAAACCCTCTATAAGACTGGACCGCGAGGATGTCCAAGTGGAAACCCAGAAACTTGGAAACGCTCTCAGTAATTTAGCCATGAAAGCCAAAAGTAAAAAGGTGGAAGTGAAAAAAGAGGAATCTCCCAGCCTAGAACCCATGGAAGTGGAGGTAGAGCCAGAACAAGTCGAGACCGATGAAGATGACTTTCTGCCCAGGGATCTGCAAACCTATAGACCTCTAACTGTCCACCAAATACGTCCCAATCCCGACAAGAAACCTAAAAAGAAGCGAAACAAAAAGTCAAATCAGTTGACCAGCAAATCCTAGCGATAGTTGGCAACGCGGCCGCATCAGCTGTAGTTTTTAGGTTATGTTACCCAGTTTGTTATCGTAATTTTTAAGGCGCCCGCACACAAAATGCTCCGGAGTTTTCGTCAATTAACCAGGATAGGAAGATCCCTGAAGACGCCAATACCTGCTAGGAGTCTACTTAAAACACCAGCCAACTACAATCTGCAGGCTCCCTTGCACACCAGCGTTGCCGCGTGGAAATATGACAAGAAATCCTCGCGAGCTTCGGATGATTTGGACAGCGACGACGAGGATGATGAGGATTTCAAGGACGAAAGGGACTCCAAGGTGGTCAAGACCAAGGTGAACTCGCTGCGTGCCGATCTTCTGCTGAAAGCCGGTCTGGGCATGGCCAGGAAGTAAGAATCCTCCCCAGAAACCACTAAAAAAGTGCTCCCTAATGACATGATGAATCTTCTTTCCCAGCAAAGTGGAGCTAAATTTCTATGAGAGCAAGATTCGCGTCAATGGAAAAAAGCTGGCCAAGAAGAGTGCCCAGGTGAGGGATTATCCCTATATAAATATATTAAATCCAAGGTATCAACTTATCCCTTTTCAGCTTGAAATCGGCGATGATATCGATGTGATCAGGGGCTTCAGCCAGACGAATCCCTCTCACCTGGTCGTGGCCCGCGTCTCCATCCTCTCCGCCAGCGAACGCGAGGAGGGACTCAGTGTCCACCTGCGACGCTACAAATCCCTGCTGGTCGAGAATTACCGGGGTCCCAATGCCTTCAAATCCTCGGAACACGTCGCTCATTAAATCAAGTTAGGAATAAATAGAAGATGCTGCTAAGTACATTTCTTCGTAGACTATTTTATTGCAACTAGAGTGCTTCCGGGTTTTTCTAGAGGAATTAAACGGAAGGATTCAAGTAAGTTTAAAGAACCCAACATTGGAGAGTTAGGATTTCAGTTTAAAGATAGGAAAAATAAAAAGTATTTTGGTAAATTTTCAAAATATACCTTTTTAAAGAGAATTCTTTCAAACTGACTAAAAAAAACTGTTAAATCAATCATTATCTTTTCTTTATAGATTCTTTTTACATTTTAATGTATCATTACAGCATTTTTGTTAATATTATGTTGGTAAAAATCACTTCAGACTAAAAAACGCGACAGGATTCGGCTTTCGGATGCATGGGCTTCCCCAGAGCGCATTTGTAGACCTCGGCGAAATCCTCGCTGTTTGAGACGGCACCCAACACGCGGTACTTATCGATGGTGTGCTCCTTGGTAAGCTCCTCCCAGTAGTGCTCCTCCTCGTAGTCGGCGCACCACAGCTGCGCGAAGCCGAGAAAGAAGAGCTGCTCCGGCGACAAATCGAGGCCAGGCATCTGTTCGTTTTGGGGTGCCAATGTCTCGTTGTCCTCCATCCTCCTTTGCAGCTGCTTCATGTGGCTCCTGTAGGCAGCGAGGGCTTCCCTCAATCCACCAGCATCCGCAATGTTCTCGTCCTTGGTTTCCGCTCCATTGATCTTTCGATTAATCTCCGGTATCAAGTAGTTGCTATAATGGTCCACATAGCACATTGCTCGATCCTGGAACACTGCCTCCGACTTTGTGGACCACCAATTCCGCTTCTGACCACTGCCATCGAAAAGGGAGCCCACCGTATCGAAACCGTGGGTCAACTCGTGACCTACCAGGTAGCCCAGGGTGCCAAACTTCAGGGAGTCGGGCCACAAACGGTGGTACGCTGGCGGATGCAGTATGCCAGCCATCACGTAGATCGAGTTGTCCAAGTTGTAGTAGAAGGCATTGACCTGCATTCCAAGGAGCAGTTCCAGCGGCTTCGAGTCGTTGGATATTTTCTCGAAATTCCGGCCATTGTGTCGTCGAATTGCGGCGCCCAAACGTCGCATGTTGATCATGCTCTGTGCGTAGCTATCGTCGGCAAGGGATAGTTTCCCGATCTCGTCGATCAAGAGGCTGGTAATCTCTTCGTTCCTGTAGCTGCCAATCACTGGCGTGATGCTGGCCTCCTTCTGCAGCGCCTCTCGTCGCGTCTCCGTATCTAACCATTCTGCGTTCTCGAGGACCTGACGCAGGGACTTTCGCAGTTCCTTCACCATCGCAGAGATCTCGGAGTGTGTCTCCTCGCTGAAGTGTTCCTGCGAATTTATGATTAATTAATATCAATTGGTTTAAACTTTAAAATGAAGTGCTATTTATTACAGCATACTTTCAGAAACCTTTTTATACTTTTGCAGAGGGCATCATTATTTAAGTTGGTAGGTAGATTCTATTTTCTTTTATACTCGTATATAGTTTTTTTTAAAGATTTCAAAAGCACCAAATCAATTTTATAAAGTTATAGACATGCCTTCAATTTTTTTACGTACTCGCATATAAACATCAAAATTAAACCAAAGCTCAAAAATAGTTTTTCTAGTTTCCGAGATCTCAGCGTTTATACGGACGGACAGACAAATAAACGGACAAGGTTAGACGACCTAATGGGTTCGGAAAAAATAATACAATTTTTGAAATTTATTAAAAAAAGCTTTCTAATCTGATTTTAGTTTTTAAAATTACATTAGTCGTTTATTTAAGTAAGAAATTCTAAAAAAAAATCTTTTCTAATAATACATTTTTAATTCCTTTTATTTTTTAGCTCCAAGTTGTATACACTACTCACCGCCATGTAAAGCTTGTTAAAAAGATGGGCCAGTGTGAACTGAACGGTCAGCAGACAGTGATCCTTTTGGAGCTTCTTTTCCTTCAGCTTGGAGTCCATGCGGTATAGGAGCGCCATGGCCAGATAGTTGGCCACTGCCTCCTGGTGCTTGGCGCACACCTTCTCCAACTCCGTGTAGTAAAAGTCGCAGAATTGACTGGGGTCCGTGCCGTTATCGAAGTTCAGACCATTCCAGGCGATCTCGTAGTAGCTCCTCCATTGGCCAAATGCAGGTGCTTCAAGAGCCACACACTGATCGCTTTCACCTCCGAACTTGTCTTCAACAGCGGCCGCCTCTCGCCAAAAGTCAAAGACTCCATCGATCACAGAGGAGATTTTATCCTCTGTGAGATTAAAGGCATTTAAGTAGCCACGCATTCGCTTTTCGTTTAAAGTGTAAGCCCGTGAACTTGAATTTACCATGTTATCTGTGTGAACGAAGTAATCGAAGCCGAGCTCAGGCAATTTAAAGTACGGCTCGAAGGGATATTGCGGCATGATTTCCTCGAGGATCAGTCCGTTGGCCCCGTAGTTGGTGAGATGGGCACTCATGTTGAACCAGCTGAACCTGGACGCGTTCCAAGCCTGCCCATCGACGGCGGGGAAACCACCAATCGACCTGATAAGCGAGAGATAAGCGGGATCGGCGGCTGGAAAGTCGGCGGCAGTGCGGCACGAATTGTAGAAGCGCTGTGCAACGAGGAGCTCGGAAGACACATTTAGAGCCTCCGCCAGTTGCGTCCTGGTCAGCAGCTGCTCCGTCACGTCCGTCAGAGTGTAGACAATGTCCAGGAGATTGCTCCGCTTGTGGCTGGCCTGCCGAGGCGGCTTCACGTTCTTCCAGTTTCCGCAGGCGAACTCGTAGAAATCATCACACGGATCGACGCTCAAGTTCATGTAGGACTTCATCAACGCGCCATAGGATCGCAGATACTCCGCCGTCTCATCTGTAATCGTGTTTTCCTGGGACTCATCCCCTATACTCCTGGCCTGACTATCCAACAGAAATACGCAAATCAGGATGCAAATGGGTGCCGTAAATAAGGGCAATCGAAAGCGATTCGAGATTGAAAACATGTTGCCCTGATTCATAGGGCACGCACGCAATTTGTATAATATATTCAAGTAGTGCGGCTAATCATCGATCGACCCGGATTATTGGAAAACGCAACTAGCTCAACTGTTTAATCCGGAACGCGATTGAGAACTGAACAACAGCCGAATCAGAGTCTCTTCGATCCGGACAGCATGTGCTTTATTCGCAACCATATCGGCGAATAACACTGGACAACAGAGATTGTGGTGATGGGATCGATGTGACATCATTAAGCTCACTTTCACCCTCGAAAACTGTGTATTCTACTCGATTTATTTGAATAATTTTAAGTAGCGCGGCCCAATTTAAACAAGGTATCGTAAAAACAGAGGCCTCTTAACCCGAACATTTATAAGGAAATCGTACTTATTATAATATTTTAGAAAATTGTTTGAGATTTAAGTAATTTTGCTGGGCTGTGTTCTGTTCTCTTGCCAAGACTTGACCTAAGCCACTCACTCTTATAGATAAGGATTTGTAAGTTCCGAAAGATTCATTGATTAGCGCCTCATTCATAGAGATTAAAACAATCTATTCGGTAAATTCTCTCAATTATTGTCTAAAAGCGTCATATTCTTATTTGTTTACATAGTAACTGGACTACTGGACTGTTGGCTTTATTTTGATAATAATTTTAACTCAACTAATTTAATATCAAGAGCAGTTCTCATGAAGCCGCTGCAATCTACATTTTTTTTAAAATACGCCCCTTTTTTTTACCCTTAATATGGGTATTATAATTTCGTGAAAAATACATATTAAATCTTAAGCTTTCCCTCTTTTGGAAAATGAGATATATCGTCTTATTGTTATTAACTTATTTTTCAAGTTTAAACTATCTAGAAAGCAACAAACAATTCTTGGATTAATTGTTAAAAAAGATATCAAATGTTTTTTGAAATGTACACCACCTAGATTAAAATTTATATAATTTGATTAGAGACACCAGTGCGTATAAGTGATGAACTTTAAAGTTAATGCGCAGACCTTAACTCTAAATTTTCCACATTGAAAAATAATATTCTCCATGGTAATAAATTATCTGAAATGCAATTAATTTCATGTTTAATATTCTCTTTATTCCAGATTACCACAAACGACAGGTATTGGCCTTTGGATGCATAGGACTACCAAGTGGACATTTGTAGACCTCGGCAAAGTCCTTGTTGTTTGAGACGGCACCCAACACCCGGTACTTATCGATGGTGTGCTCCTTGGTGAGCTCCTCCCAGAAGTGCTCCTCCTCGTAGTCGGCACACCACAGCTGCGCGAATCCGAGGAAGAAGAGCTGCTCCGCCGACAAATCGAGGCCAGGCATCTGCTGACTTTGGGGCTCCAACGTCTCATTATCCATCGGGCTGCTTTGGAGCTTCTTCATGTGGCTCCGATAGGCGGCGAGTGCTTCTCTTAAACCACCAGCATCCGCAATGTTTTCATCCCTGGTAACGTTGCCATTGATCTTACGATTGATCTCCGGTATCAAGTAGTTGCTGAAATGGTCCACATAGCACTTGGTTCGTTCCTGGAACTCTGCCTCCGATTTCGTGGACCACCAATTGTTCACCTCACCTCTGCCATCGAAAGTGGATCCCATCGTATCAAAACCGTGGGTCAACTCGTGGCCTATCAGGAATCCTATTGTGCCAAACTTCAGGGAGTCGGGCCATGAACGGTGATACGCAGGCGGATGCAGTATTCCAGCCATCACATAGATCGAGTTGTCCAAGTTGTAGTAGAAGGCATTTACCTGCATCCCAAGGAGCAGTAAGAGCGGCTTCGTGTCGTTGGTCATTTTCTCGAAATTCAAGCCACCGTATCGTTTTAAAGTGGTGACCAATCTCTGCAGGTTGATCATGCTCTGGGGGAAGCTATCCTCAATAACGGATAGTTTCCCGATCTCGTCGATCAGGAGGCTGGAAATCTCTTCGTTCCTGTAGCTGCCAATCACTGGCGTGATGCTGGCCTCCTTGAGCAACGCCTCTCGTCGCGTCTCTGTATCTAACCATTCGGCGTTCTCGAGGACCTGACGCAAGGACTTTCGCAGTTCCTTCACCATGGCAGAGATCTCGGAATGTGTGTCCTTGCTGAAGTATTCCTGCGAAAAAAAAGTAAAAGGATTAGGCAAATATAGGAAAATGTTTGAAAAAATACTTGATTTATTAAAAGCTACATATTTTAGATACCTTTCTATCAGAAAAGATGCGATCCTAAAATTTATATATTCTTGATCAGTAGACATCGGATTTTAGGTGGAATCGTTTTTTTTAAATACGATTTATAGCCACATTTGATTAGTTACAAATTTTATTTATTAATTTATAATTAGATTTAGGCAAAACTTAGTTGAGGTTTTTGTAAAAAAAATTCAGCCAGTCAAATTTGGCTTTAAATCAGCGGTCGGCACACACATACGTTGACATTTTGTTTTATATTTGTGTGAGTAATTTGCACTGGGCAGCTCATCGATGTGTGTGTGCAGACCGCTGTTCTACGTTATACATGTGCGACCAGCGCGGCGGCAGAACAAAACCCTATGCTCACTTAATAGGGCGCTGCCGACCGCTGCTTTAAATCATATTTAAAAAAACTATTTCACCTAAAATCCGATGTCTATTGATCAGGATTCCTAGACGAGTGAAAATAGCCGTGTATGTTGCTTCTGGCTGACTGTTTTAATACTGTTCTTGAGATTTCCAATAAATTCCCGATGGTATAGTATTTCCATAAGAACGGAATAATGTCAAAATTTTATGTTTTTCAAATATGTTTGTCTATATTTATTTATCAAATTTCTTATTTTGAAGTTATATTATTTTATACTGTTTTAATATTTTATATTTATACCATTTTAGTCATATTTTAGTTCTAGAAATCCGCAAGGGTATTAAAATCTTCCGTTCTCATAAAGCCGTAAATCTTGTTCTTAACTCACCGCCATGTAGAGCTTGCTAACGAGGTGGGATAACGACATCTGGACCTTGGTCAGACAGTAATCCTTTTGTTTATTTCCTTCTTTCAGCTTGGCGTCCATGCGGTAAAGGAGCACCATGGCCAAATAGTTGGCCACTGCCTCCTGGTGCTTGGAGCACAGCTTATCCAACTCCGTGTAGTAAAAGTCGCAGAACAGGCTAATGTCCGAACCGTTGTCGAAGTCCAGGCCATTCCAGGCGATCTCGTAGTAGCTCCTCCATTTCCCAAATGGAGGCCCTTCAAGCAACTCGCACTTGTCACTATCGCCTTCAAACTTGTCTTCAAGAGCGGCTGCTTCTCGCCAAAAGTCAAAGACTCCATTGATCACAGAGGAGATTTTATCCTCTGTGAGATTAAAGGCATTTAAGTAACCACGCATTCGCTTCTCGTTTAGTTTGTACGCCCGTGAACTTGAATTAACTATATTATCTGTGTGAATTATGTGGTCAAAGCCCAATTCGGGCAGTTTAAAGTATGGATCGAATGGATACTGCGTTGAAATTTCTTCGAGGATCAGCCCATAAGCACCGTAGTTGGTGAGATGGGCACTCATGTTGAACCAGCTGAACCTGGACGCGTTCCAAGCATCCCCATCGACGGCGGGGAAACCACCAATGGACCTGATAAGCGAGAGATAAGCGGGATCGGCGGCTGGAAGCGGAAATACCTCGGCCATGAGGCAGGAATTATAGAAGCGTTGAGCAATCACTAGTTCTTCGGACACATTTAGTGCCTCTGCCAGTTGCGTCCTGGTCAGCAGCTGCTCCGTCACATCCGTCAGAGTGTAGACAATATCCAGGAGATTGTTTCGCCTGTGACTGGCTTGTCGAGGCGGTTTTACGTTCTTCCAGTTTCCGCAAGCGTACTCGTAGAAATCATCACACGGATCGGCGCTCAAGTTCATGTAGGACTTCATCAAAGCGCCATAGGATCGCAGGGATTCTAGGGACTCATCCCCAATACTCCTGGCCTCACAGCCCAACGAAAATGTGCAAATTAGGATGTAAATGACTCCCGAAAGTAAGGATGGCCGGAAACGTTTCGAGATTAGAAACATGATGCCTTGATCCAAAGGCCACACACGCAGTTTTTATAATATATTAAAATAATGCGGCTTATCACTAAACACGACTAGTTAGTTCGACGCGCGTTGCAGAACTAAGCCATTGTCGAATTCGAGTCTCTCCAGCGTAATTTCTTTACGCTGAACCATTAAAATTATAGATAGTTTCTAAAGTTTTTTCAGAATAGGACATAATACAATATTATCCAATTTTCTTACCTTAAAAAATATTTTAAAAATAATTAGCGTATAAAAGATGGACTTGAAGTTTGAACTTGCCGGGCTAAAACTCTTTCTTTTTCTTAAAACAAATAAATTTCGAATTAATAATAACCGGTTACTTATCATTAATAGCAGTTTTCAAATTTCGACTTTTTGCCGCCGGAGCAACGATTATAAAATCAATCACTTCCAATCGATAGACGTATCGATAGCACTCGCAGTGTTACCAGAGGCCCCGCCGAACCTAATTGTTGTTGGGCTTGCGAGACGAGACGGTCACATCAGGACGCAGTGAAATTTTGTATTTTTTTTGTAAAAATGTCATTTTCCGCCATCGGGAATTGCCAATTAGTTTCGCAGATATATCAGGTAAAACCCCCAAAACACTGCGATCAGCGTTGGCCTAATGTGTTACCATTGCAGTACAAGAGCCGCCGCATCGTGTGCAGCTTTAAGGTGCTGCCGACACCTGTGACCCATTTTAAGCGGGAACCCAAGAATGTTTTCCACTGGATGACCGCGGATCGCTGGAGTCGCATCGAAAGCGGCCTGTGGCTGATGCTCGAGAATCTCAAGCGATGGGAGGACGCCCGCAATCTGGACACCGATCTGATGATCGATCACATCAGTGTGCGTGTCCAGGCCACCAAGAAACCGCATCCTTCCGCAATGAGCCTGCTGGCCGACGCGGAACTGACCCCCAATGACCTCAGCCTGGATCTCCAACTGCAGTACCTAACCTACGAGGACCGAACCCTGTTGGCCTTCATTCCCACCAAGCGCAAGTTTGCCACGGATGCAGAATCCAACGGCACCGGGCGGCAAATCAATGCCACCAAGGGCAAGGAATCTACGTTGGCAGCCAAGCCAAAAGCGGGGTAGGAAACCCTCTAGAAAATATCCTTATAGACAGTCGGTTATGTAGTCCTAAAGATCTGTATCTTACTTTGCTTGTATTATAACTTATAATTTATAATTCTACTTAGTCGGTTGGTAGTCTCAAAGATCTGTATCTTAGAAAACTATTAGAGAAATATTTTTAGAATTTTCTAACTACTTAACTTATAACTTATAATTTATAAGTACATTTTATAGGTTGCTTGTACTTAAATGATTTGTATTTCATTTTTATTATTTAGAAGCCATTTTAGAATTTTAATACTACTTATCATTGTGTTTTTCTATTATTTACTTAGTTAATTTTATCTGTAAAATAATTTTCTTGTGCTTATATAATTTGCTTGTTTTTAAGTCGATTTAAATGCTTTTATATTTACTTAACTCTCATATCTAAATGTTATATTTTAAGTTATTTAAGTGCCCTTGCACATGCTTAAATGATTGGTATTTGGTTTCCTCTGTAAAATGTATATAGAATTAGTCAATTCGCTAATCTAAATGCCCCTCATATTTTAAGTTATTTGAGTGCCCTTTTGATTGCTAGGTTGCACATGCTTAAATTATTTGAATTTGGTTGCCTTTGTAAAATGTATATAGAATTCAATTGTGCAATTTTTGGAGAAGATAACTCCATCTTATGATTGTTTTAAACCCATTTCCTTTAGAGCACAATCAAAGCAACCCAAGCACATTGATGCGGACGACGACGATGAAGATGATGATAGCGACGTTTTCGCCAAGGCCAGCCGCCAACCGCCTGCGAAGGTGAAACGCGAACGCAGATCCATTTCGCAGGGCGGCGGCGAAAAGGAGAAGTCTTCCAGCAGCGCCAGCTCCTCCCGCCAGGGAAACCGCTTGAAGCGAACGCAGAGTCCAGCACAAAGGTGAGTTCAGGGAACCAGATTCGTTTTGGTATCAAATGTTCAAGGAATCAAGGCGTATTGCTGTTTTCGCAGGAATTCCAGAGCCAGCTCTGTCGAGTCCAAACCTGCCCGCCGCTCCGGCCGATCACCGATGCGTCCGGGTCGCTTTAAAAATTTCGTCTTAGGGTACGCGTTCGCAGCTAAGCTTTAAAGATCGTGATTATTAACTATTTCTTTGGCTGCACTTTCAGCGAGGCGAAGAGCAGCAAGAGTAAGGTTTCCAAGCCGTCCAAGGTGAAACGGGTTTCACCATCACCCAGCAAGCCGTTGAAGGTGGAGCAGATGGACGGAGCCAGGTTCGATGCACTGCAGCGGCTGGACAGCATGCTGGACATGCCAAGGCCGCGAGAAGTTGAGATATTGTGAGTGATTTCAACGGATTCAATTGAAAATAAAGCGCTTACGAAATTGCCTTCGATTTTGATTGTCTCAGACTCTTGGAGGAATTGGGCGAAGACGATGTCCTGAACACTTTCGAGATCTATCGCAGCGACTTCGATAAGCTGTTCAAGGAGCGGGAGTTTAAGCCGCGCACCGTGGACTACATGAGTATCGATCACATGTCGGTCATGGATATACTCACTAAAAGCATTCGCGACAAGATGCTCAAGAAACTGGGCGAAATCTACATCGGTCGAAGCGTAAGTTTGGGGTTCCTTAGCATTGCATACATATCTTAAACCTTCCTGCTCATCAGAATCACACGGCGCTGCTTATAAATGGAATGCTGCCGCTTTGGATAGTGCGCCTCTTTATGGACACCTACAAGATGTCGCATGCGGATGCCGTGAAGCAAATCCGCGACCAAAACAAGTACAACTCGTATATGAAGGCCTACCGGGATGATCCCCTGTGTTCCGATCTTGATGACTGATCGAATTCTATTTTGATTAATATTATTTTCTATTATTATGTATTAGATAGGTAAATTACAAAGTCTCGCATGAAAAGCGACATTACTTTCCTATACGGAATAAGCACTCGTTAAATATTCATTTGTCTTTCTTTATTTTGATTGGAATCATATTACATTGTATAAATACATATTTCATTTGCTTTCGAAAAAAGAAAACGCTTGAGCGACTGCAACCGAATGTAGTGTGTAATGGAGTGCTCTCTTTTCTGGGCGACTGGCGGTGAAGGATTACGAAATTGCTTTACTTAGAATCTAGGGACATGCTAGCGAGTAATGTTGATGAACCGCCCGGCAAGTGGTTGTTTAAAACTCAGTCTGACCTCCTCCTCCACATTCGTATGTACAATCAAGTGGACTTTGTGGATGATACGATAGCCTACAGCTCGTCGTGCTGCTGATCCTCCTCCTCATCGTCGGCGCTGGCGCTCTCCTGGCTGCCGGTCGCTGGCTCCTCGGCATCCTCATCCTCCTCATCCTCATCGATCTCCACCTGTTCGGTCTGCGAAACGCCCAACGTCTGGCGCATCATCTGCTCAATGCTGTCGGCGAAGGAGGAAGTCTCCTGCAGCATGTAGCCCGATCGCAGAGTGGCGGTGCGGAACATCATCACGGCCATGTCCTTGGCGGTATCATCAGCCTCGTCGGCCTCCACGCGACGCAGGAGCTCGCGCATCAGCGGATGCCGCGGGTTAATCTCCAGTGTCTTCTTCTGGTTGAGGTAGTAGGTGCGCTGTGGATCGTCGGACTTCTGGTGGGCATTCGACATGGCCAGGCGCTCCATGTTGCCGGTCCAGCCGAAGACGCCGGCCACCAAAGCGCACGGGGAGTTGCTCAGGCGCTCGGAGACTTGGGCCTTGGAGATCTGATCCTTAAGGGCCACATCATTCAACCACTTGACCAGCGGCTCAAAGGTGCCCTTCAGCTCCTCGAAGTTCTTCTTGCTCTTCTCCGACTCGTTCAGCTGGAATCCCTCCTTGGCCACGTTCTGGAACTTCTTGCCATCGAATTCGGGCAGCGCGGAGATGCAGTACTCATCGACGGCCTCCACGAGATAGAGAACCTCGTAGCCCTTGCTCAGCAGACGCTCGACGAAGGGCGACTTCTCGACCTCGGCGCGATTGGCACCGGCAATGTAGTAGATGTGCTCCTGCTTGGCCTTCATGCGCTCCTTGTACTCGGCCAGCGAGGTGACGCCCTTGCCGTTGGAGGTCTGGAAGCGCAGCAGCTTGGCGAGACGCGATCGGTTGCTGGGATCCTCCATCACGCCCAGTTTGATGCTGCAATTTGGAGAAACAATTGAAATTACATAGGGAATATTTTAAAATTTATTTAGCCAGAAAAAGCCATTTAAGTTCATGGAAAAAATTAACTATTATAAACGTCACTATGGTCAGTATTATAATACTGAAATGAAGAAATAATTACTATTAAGAAGTATATAATAAAGCCATTAAAGTTCTTGTAAAAAATTAACTCTTATCTATTATACACGTCACTATGGTCAGTATTATAATATTGCTGATTTGGCGTAAATTCCTATCTTATCTTCAAGTGTTTTTTATAAAATAGCATCATTAATTTCAAGAAAATACCCATAAAATTCCCATCAAATATTTCGCAAGAAATATTAAAGAGGAAGTATTTTTTTAAAGAAATCCGAGTTCCAAGGAAAATTAAACTCTTATCAATTAAGACTCTGCACAATAATACACGTCAATATTATAATATTGCGTGGATTCTGCAGATATCTTATCAGCACAACTCCCCTTTTTATCAATATATATAAATAGCTATTTTCATGATATCTATATCTATATCTATATCTATCTATGGTCAGCATTATAATATTGCTGATTTGGCGGAAATTCCTATCTTATCTTCAAGTGCCTTTTATGAAATAGCATCATTAATTTCAGGAAAATACCCATAAAATTGAATTAATGTTTCGCAAGAAATATTAAAGAGAATTCCTCTTTTTAAAGAAATCCGAGTTCCAAAGAAAAGTGAACTCTTATCAATTAAGACTCTGCAAAAAAATAGGTACACGTCAATATTATAATATGGATTCTGTGGATATCTTATCTGCATAACTCGCCTTTTTTATCAGTATCAGTATATTAAAATAGGTATATATATTTTTTTTGAACTCTTAAAAACAACACTTACTTGGTGGAGAACTCCTTCCAGAACTTCTCGTACGCATCCTTATCGATCTTCTTGAGCATGTCGAGCACCTTGCGGACCAGCTTCTTCTTGATCACCTTAATGAGCTTGTGCTGCTGGAGGGTCTCGCGGGAAACGTTCAAAGGCAGATCATCGGAGTCGACGACGCCGCGAATGAAGCTCAGATAGTTGGGCATCATGTCGTTGAACTCGTCGGTGATGAAGACGCGACGCACGTATAGCTTGATGTTGTCCGACTTGGTGCCGTAGCGATTGAAGGATTCGGAAGGCTGAACCTTCGGAACGTAGAGCAAACTCTTGAAGGTCACCTCACCCTCGGCGATGAAGTGCGTCTGGGAGAGCGGCTCGCTGGAATCCTTGGTGAGGCTCTTGTAGAAGCTGGTGTACTCATCCTCGGTCACCTCGGCGGGCTTGCGCGTCCAGATGGGCTTGCTGTCGTTGATGAGGGTCCAATCCCAGGTGGTCTTCGATACCTTCTTGGTCTTGGGCTTCTCATCGTCGGCCTCCTCGACCTTGGCGTCCTCCTCCTCCTCCACGTCATCCTCGGTTTTCTCAGGCTTAGCCGCCTCCTCCTCGACGGGCACCTCTTCCTCCACAGTCTTGCTGGACCACATGCGAATGGGGAAGTTGATAAACTGCGAGTACTTGCGGATCAGTTCGCGAACGGTGTCCTCCTCGAGGAAATCCTGGGCCTCCTCTTTCAGATACAGCGAGATGACGGATCCTCGCTTCAGCGTATCGCCACGGGGATCCTCGGTGATCGAGAAGCTATTGGCGTCCGACTCCCAGATGTACTGCTTGTCGTCGTTGTGCTTGGTTGTGACCACCACCCGATCGGCGACCAGGAAGGCCGAGTAGAAGCCCACACCGAACTGTCCGATCATGTCGTTCATGTCCTGACCCTCCGATTTGCTGGGATCCTGCATCTTGGCCAGGAAATCGGCTGTTCCAGACTTGGCAATGGTGCCCAGGTTGTTGATCAGATCCTGATGGGTCATGCCAATGCCCGAGTCCATGATGTGCAAAGCCTTATTCTCCTTATCCGCCTTAATGCGAATGTGCAGCTCCGGATTGCTCTCCAGCTCCTTGCTGTTGGACAGAGCCAACAGACGGATCTTGTCGATGGCATCGGAGGCATTCGAGATCAGTTCGCGCAGGAAGATCTCCTTGTTGCGGTACAGCGAGTTGATGATCAGCTTCATCATGCGGTTCACCTCTGTCTGGAAGGTGAATTTCTCAGCCTGCCGAAGGGGAAAAAGAGAAGGGAATTTCCGGTCATATACGTGTACTTTAGAGATCTATATAAGAGCCCTGCGTGAATCATTCAATTTTTGTTTCTTCATAGTATACCATGAAATTTCTCATTTGTTTAATTCAATTTAATGTTTTTCGAATTGAGTGAATGAATTTTTTGAATTTGCCAGATTTTTTTTGTGCCTTCTTTTATGAAGAAAAAGTGAAAAATTTTTAACAAATCAATGTTAACTGCATAGTAAAAAATATTTAGGGCCGTTTTCTCGTCCGTTTGTTAAATTTAAATTAAGGTTAAAACCTATAAATCGTATGGGAAATCAGAGCTTTAGCCCTACTTTAAATTTAACACAAAATAATGACGCTTTCTTCTTCAAAAGAAATTGTCGTTTAAATTATTTCGGAATTCTAGCCATTCATTCTTTCAATTCTATTAAACTCAAAATTCTAATTAATTCATTAAAACAAAAAAATTCAAAATAATTCATTGAATCCATTCATGCAGGGCTCTTATTTATATCTATATAGAGCAGCGGTCGGCAGCGTCCTATTAAGTGAGCATAGGGTTTTGTTCTGCCGCCGCGCTGCTCGCACATGTATAACGTAGAACAGCGGTCTGCACACACACATCGATGAGCTGCCCAGTGCAAATTACTCACACAAATATAAAACAAAATGTCAACGTATGTGTGTGCCGACCGCTGATATAGAGATGTAAACTTACCTTCTCGCGAATTTCCTTCAGTTGGGCCACATTCAAACCGTCCAGTTGGATGGCCTCCTCTTCGCGCTTCAAAGTTTCGGCATCTATAAATTCGGAAAAGATAAAGGGGCGGGTTTTAGAAGACCGAGTTCGTAACGCTGACGTGTACCAACGAAATTTGCACAACTCCCCGGGGGGGCGTGGCCACCTACCTGTGCGGGAACCCTCCTTAAAAGATCCCAGATCCAAGTCAATGGTCTCCGTTGCCGCTTCATCTTCACTGGCTGCAATTTGATTGACGCCTAAACGAGACACACAAATTAATTAGGTTAAAACACCGGTATTTCGGGGGCGTTTTCCGGCTGTTTTGCATCGTGGCAAATCGAAACGTACCTGCTAAAAGCAGCAGGCCCAGCAGCAAAAAGTACTTCATGATCGAAGATAACTGGATTTACGAGGACGAGCTATCAGTTGCTCCGGCTAAAAGGCCACGTCACGAATAACAAAGGCTATAAATTATTCCGCACTTGCGACGCCCGCTTTGATTTTTTTTAAATGACGCCGACGCACGGCTGAACGGCCTTTAAATCCCTCTCAGAGTGACCGTATTGCGAAGTGGTGGATTTAGCCATCAGTGCTGGCTAAAAAAGCTAGAGATTTTTCGAGAAGAAAGCTAGAAAGGGTTGGATTTGAAATTTTTGGAATTTCTTTAAATGCGTTTTGCCGAAATGATAAATTTCTGCTATTTCGGCCAATTTTCTTGATTTTTTTAAAAAGAATTTTGTGGTTTTTTGGTATTAAAATGACAATTTGACTGAAACTATTGATAGAAAACGGAAATATCAATAAAAGCTACGAGAGTTGACGAATTTTTTCACTATTTTTTCATAATTGGACATTAAAAAAAAATAAACAAATTCGAATTCCCGCATTATACAAATTTTCCCGCAGTTGACCTTAAAAAAGTCAGATTTGACGAGAAAAATGCGTAATTGCCAACCCCGAGGAGGGTGTCTTAGCTAAGTCAGAAATGTAACATTTTTAGCGATGCAATAACCCCGATTTCAACAAATCGAGATCGACAAAAGAAATCGATGCTCGCTGCACCGATGTTTTTTACATCACTAGCAGCTTCAAATAAAACGTACAGATTAGCATTTTATTTTGTGTCCATTTCAAAGGAAACTCAAAAGATCCAAATAAACATGGAGTCGAATATTGGTAAATATAAAGTGAAGTTGATAGTTTGCATAGCGATCACATTCCTAACCCTTAATAACAGCAGATAATGACGCTATCGATGTTGGCGTCTTGGCGCCTTGCGACCAGGAAAACGAAGACGCCAATCTGAATGTGAAAATTGCAGCCGCTGTGGGCACTCCGGTGGCCAAGAAAACGCGCCGTGCGGTTCTCAAGCGAAATAACGCCATCTCGGAGAGGGATTCGCCCACGCTGCAGGATCCTCCGAAGACTCCAGGAACTCCTGGCAATCTTCGTTTAACCACAACTGAAACCCCGCGACGCAGTTGCCGGAAAAGTGTGCGTCCTGCGATCGACTACGATGATATCATAGTGAGATCCGCCAAGAAGATTATAGCCGCCGCTCCAGCCGACGATCCCGAGGACGAGGAGCCCTCCACTCACAAGTGGAGCGCCGCGGAGGTGGGCAAGAATTCGCGCAAGCGCAGCCGCAAATCCAAGCGGATGACCTCCAAGAAGCAGAAAACGGAGAAGGCTCTTCCAGAGGATAAGATTGAGGAGCAGCAGGAAGCAGAAGATGATAGGCCACAGGAAAAAGTGGAGGAGACTCAGGAACAGGAGGAAACTACAGAGGTTCCAAGTGATACTGTAGAAAAGGCAGCTGAAAATCAAGATAAGGAGTCAAAGCCAACAAAATATGCTGTTTCCGAAGCAGATATAGATGAACTGGGCTTGTGCCCCCTGGAAATTGATAGCCAGGAGGAAGATGAGAAGGAAATACCAGCTGAAGAAGCCACATCAACTGCTCCACAGGATAAGGATCAGGATAAGACGCTTGTTCAGGAGGAAACTAAAGAAGAAGGTATCCAAAAACCCGAGGAGGAAGATAAACAAGCTGTTGAAACCGCGAAACCTGCTGGACAGAATGAAGAAAGCACAATATCAGTAGTTACTGATGAGCAAGCCATTCTAGAGGAAGAAATGCCCTCGCTACTTGTGGAAAACGAAGATCTGGATGAGCCGGAAAAGTCGCCACTTAACACCACATACGATGCCGATGAGAAGACAGCTGCGGATGCAAGTATCATCCTGATTGTTACTCCCGACAAGCAGCCAGATGTTAGCACTTCCGATCTGGATGCCAGTGTTATTCTGGTAGAATCTAGCGTTCCCAAGCCGAAAATTCCGGAGGAGAAACCCCCAATCAAAGTGGTGCTCACCACAGCCGATGATAAGAACCAAACACTGTTGAATCTAGCCGATGTAGCTTCGCCAAAGGGATCAAAACCCTTGAAATCTAAGGGCTTTCGATTCCCGACACCCTATAAAGCAAGGCCAATGTTTAATTTCACGGATACAATGGAGGCCTTTGAGGAAAACCACAAAAATAAATCGTTAATTCAACCAGAAGAACCGAAATACGAACGCAAACGTTCCAAGTCGGCCAGCGATTGGAATAATACCATGTCGCGAACTGTAACCTTTCAAAGTCCCATTGATATTACCACTTGTGAGGATATTGACAAGCGCTGGAAGGGACTTCAGAAGAATAGTGAGTTTTTATATAAGGTTTTCCATGATCCCTTTCTTAAACTTGCTTTTTCAGATGTTAATCATCGTCGCAGGCGATCAAAGTCATTGGATGAGAGTCGCTGCAAAGTGAGCAGGATTCCTAAGCCCAGTAGGGGTAAGTCTATAATCAGACTTATAACTATACCATTTATTACAAGTTTTAATAATTCTTTTTATAGGAGTTATACCTCTCAACAAAACCATCACACCCAGCAAGGTGAATAAACGCACCAAGATGCCCAATTTCGCGGCCATGCATGAAAAGCAGTTTGCCAAGATGGAGAGTCTCCTAGATCACGTGGAGCGCAAGGCGGAACGCGCCAAGGTGCTGACCAATTCGGTGCAGAAGCAACTGCCTGGATCGACGGCCAAGAAAGCAGCGCAGAGTTCCATTTCTGTGGAGCAGCGCGAACGTCCAAAGGCGCTGAAGAAGATCAACTTGACCGTCGATCGAACGATGGTCATTGAGCATTCCTCCGATAAGCTCAACTCATCGCGATTGCCCTTGAAGACCACTGCTCCCGCCCTGAATGTGGCTCCGAAGCCAGCCTTCAATCTGTCCACCTCCACGGTGAAGACTTTCAACGCCACGTTCTCCAGCAGACCGGCAGAATCGCAGGATAACAAGTTGGCGGAGAGACGCCAGCGACGCATCGAAATGTTCAAGGGCAGGACAACCAAGGAGCAAAAGGAGAAGGGCGAGTTTATCCGTGGAGTGCGCCTGAATCGACGCTTCGAGCTCCAAATGCAACATCGTCGACACCTGGAGGAGGATTAGTTTCTTAAGTTTTATCGTTAATACTTTATTTACTCTTATGCTAACCCTTATATATAATCGCTTAAACATGTCAGTTTTGTCAAGGATTCTTCAAAAAAGGAGGTTTCCTTTATCAAATAAAATTTGTTTTCATTTATCTTTTTGAATTTAAAAATCTTTTTATTTTTAAGAAATTAAACATTTTATATATTATGTAAAAAGCCATTTAAAAATAAAATTTCTAAATATTTTGTACATTTGTAGGTACGTTTTTTAGTCCCTGGGTTATATTCAGATACAAAAAAGTTATATTTTGTGCAACACTGGTGTCAAATTATTTTGAAAAGTATTTCCTGTATCAAATAAAATTTGTTTTCCTTTTTTTTAATTAAACATTTTATCTATTATGTAAAAACCATTTAAAAATAAAATAACTAGATATTTTGTACATTTGTAGGTACATTTTTTGATTCCTTGGATTATATTCAGGTACAAAAAAGTAACACTGCAACACTGGTCTCAAACTATTATGAAAAATATTTTCTGTATCGAATAAAATTTGTTTTCCTTTATCATTTTGAATTAAAAAATCTCTTTATTTTCTAAGAAATTAAACATTTTATCTGTTATGTAAAAAACCATTTAAAAATAAAAAACGTATATATTTTGTAGGTACACTTTTTGTATACGCAAGCATTACTTTAGGTACAAAAAAAGTAACACTTTGTGCAACACTGGTATAAAATTATATGAAAAATATTCGTTAGCAGGCATGTGCGTTTACCTCAGATGAATTTCAAATACTTCAAAACCATTTCTACAAAGGACTTGGACAATTACACTTTACTCGCGAGTTCTTTTGTTAATTGTTTTTAAATTTGAGTTTTATTTTCATATTCAAATTGGAAAAACTTTAACGTTACTAATACTAATACTCCAAAACGAAATCAGTTGGCAGCCCCGAATAACGGCGCTTTTTCGCGTTTCCTTTCCCGTGCGTTTTTTTTTTTCATTCCCCTTTGCCGCATTTTCTTTTCCGCGCGCGCACAAACAAAAAAAAGCGCAGCCGCAAAATGTGTGACGCAGCGAATCCAGCGAAGCCGTGGCAACTTTCGGGGATGTCCTATGGCAACGGGATCCCGGCGCTGTGCCTGCTGCACCAGGAGATCGAGCAGTTTTACAGTTACATCCAATCCACGCCCACCGAGTTCTACCTGCGGGCGGAGGCAGTGCGTCGCATCGAGGACGTGGTGCTCTCCATTTGGCCAGGCGCATGCGTGGAGGTTTTCGGCTCCTTTCGCACGGGACTGAATCTCCCGGACTCGGATATCGACTTGGTGGTGCATCATACGTACTGCTACTGGAATCCCCGGTGGCTGCATGAGCTTCAGTTCGAGTTAATTAGCCACGGAGTCACGGATCCCGACAGCGTGAGTGTTTTGGACAAGGCCAGCGTGCCGGTGGTCAAGTTCACGGAGCGCGTGTCCCGCATCAAGTTCGATGTCACCTTCAATGTGGCCGCCTCGGGCGTCCAGGCGGCGGAGCTGATAAAGGACTTTATACGCCAGTTTCCCGAGCTGCCCAAGCTGGTGATGGTTCTCAAGCAGTTCCTCAGCCTCCAGGGACTCAATGAGGTGTACAGCTGCGGTGGTGTGTCCTCCTACGCCCTCACCCTCATGGTCATCAGCTTCCTGCAGCAGCAAAAGCGCAGCGGCAGGCGGTATAGTGCGCACAACAAACTGGGACTGCTGCTCCTCCAGTTTCTGGAATACTACGGCCGCAAATTCGACTTCTTCAAGTATGGGATTTCGGTGCTCGGTGAAGGCGGCTGCGTGGAGAAGGAGCGACTGCGTTCGGCGCAGGGACAGAATAATTGCTCCGTGCTCAGCATCGAGGATCCGGTGACGCCGACGAACGACATTGGAAGGAGCTCCTTTGCGGCCTTGCATGTAATGCAGGGATTCGAGGCCGCCTTCCTGAAGCTCTCCAAGCTGGTGGACTCCGATTCGGCCAAGATTGTGGGTCCCATTCTGGCCAACATGGTGGAGGTGCCGCAATCCATGATCAATTACCGCGCTTGGGTGCACTACAACTTTGCGCATCTTTTGGGAAACGGACTGGAGAGTCCTGATGCCATTGGACAACCAGCGCTCATGGGCTCATCCACCACCTCCTCGGCCTCCGAGGATGAGCACTCGGACTCCAACCAAAATCAGACTGTGAGGAACGGATTCCGCCGCTGCGGCGATGGTCCGCCCCAGAATTTAGACTTAGACGCCACCCTGGCCAACCTCAAGTTGAATTAAGTATGTTTGCGATGATTAATGCTACTGGTGATTTTACTTTTATAAACTATCATATTTTATTTGCATACTAGTATGCTCGGCATATAAAAACTAAAAAAAAAAACAATTATAGGCTATATATCGCATTTTTTATTTATTAATTACCAATTAACGTTTAAATTTAAAAAGAATGACACCGCCAATGTAGTTGAGTAACTAAACAAATCATCAATACAAAAATGTAATGCCTTATTGTACTTGTGACTTATTATAAATAAAATAAAGCTTAAGCCGCAATGAGAACTTAATTTATATGGATTTATCAATTGTTGAGAGAGATTTTTATTTAACAATTTTTGAGATATAATTACAAAAAAATTAACTAGAAAAAAAGGAAAATTAAAAGAAATGGTTAAAATCTATTATTTACAGTTAGTAATGATAAAAAAAAGCTTGCTAGCGTAAAAAAAATATAAATTGGAGATATTGAAATTAAAATATTTTCAATTAATATTTTTTATTTTTGTTGTTTTTGAAGCAATATTTTGTTAAATAATAATTATTTAAATAGATAAATATTGGGAGATAATTATTGATAAGCTTTTTAGAGATAATTTCAAAAGAATTGCTAGAAAAAAAGGAAAATTAAAAAAGAAGTTTAAATCTAATATTTAAAGTTAGTATTGAAAAACCGCGTTTGCTAGCGTAAAAATAAAAGTTAATTTCGAATTAGTTTGACTTTCCAAAATGTTATTTCCAGAATATAAATTGGAAATATTGAAATTAACCTTTTTTTAATAAATATTTTGGTGTTTTTTAAAGCAACATTTTTGGTATTTTATTAAAATGTATTTCAATGTGTGGATATTTTTTTTCTTACTTTCCTGCAATACTTTTCAATTCTAATCATAATAAAATAACAATTATTTAAATAATCAAATTAAAACGACCTTTGAATATATATCGAATATAAATATCGGCATTCACTGCGCATTAGAGGTGGAGAAACATCGATGTTTTCGATGTTTTAACAGGCAAACATCGATGTAACATCGAAAAACATCGATGTTTCTCCACCTCTACTGCGCATTAAATGCACGATATTTTCCCGAAAAATATCGATAGATGGATATTTTTGTGCATTTCCCACATCACTATGCAGCTATCGAAAAAAAGTGAAGCGTAAAATAAACGGTACAAGGAAAATTTATTTTGCCTGTGTGCGTGCTTGTGTTTATGAAAAATAGGTTTTCAAGCGTTTGCAATTGGTGCAGCGTCGCGTCGGAAGGCCAAGAAAACTGCGAGTGGAAACGCCCGGGTGGCGGAAATAGACTGAATCTGCGTGTGTACCAGTGCGCGAGTGCGAGTGTGTGTGTTTCGTTCCGTCCTCTGGTGTCTGGCACCTTAACACAACAACAACAACAACGACAGCAGTAGCAGCACCAGCAACAACAACAACACACGCACAATAATAAGGCCCGTGACGTTGTCTCGCTGCCGTCACCATCGAAAGCAAAAGACCAAAACGAGCTGAAAAACAAACGGCAGTGTTGTAGTAGCGAAAGGAAAAGTCGCGTTCTTTTTACCAAAACTAGGTGGGTTTTGTCGGTTTTTCCTCGAGCATTTCCACCATTTCCATTTCCACGAAGTGATTTGACATGTTGCGCTGCTAGGTCGCCGCTGCCCACACACACACATTCGCTGGCTCGCTCACTCACTCACACCCACACGGCCAGACACTCGCACACACACACACACCTTTGTGGCAGACACGCGTACTGTCTGTCTCCCTCCCCCTCGCACCCACAGTCTGGCCTCGCACTTTGCAATGCAGCCATGCCATGTCTGTGTGACTGCCTCGGTGTCGGTGTGTTCGTGCGTGCGAGTGTGTGTGTGTGCGAGCAGCCGTGTCTGTATGTATTTTGTCGATTTTTATTTTATGTACATTTGTTTACAGTTTTAGATAGATAGCGAAATTTGTACAGCCGGCGGCCATCCGTCGTTGACATTTTCGCAAATTGTAAATGAATATGCTTTTGGTTTTGCTGTTGTTTTTGCTTTTGCCTTTGCAGTTGTGTGCGAGAGTGAGTGTGAGCGCGACTGCGAGTGCTGTCTGTGTGTCCCCCTATGTATATATATATGTTTATATATATATAAGTTCATGAACAGTCGCCGCCGTCGACTTGTTTTGATTTAATTTCGCGCTAAATGCAATCGCGAACAATTTTCGCTCGTATCGCTGTACCGCCGCTGCGTAACATGGCGGGGAATTTCGTTTGAAGCCGAAAGTGCCAGCAGCAGCAGCAACAACAAGAAGGCAACGCTGGCGCCTACATCTGCATGTGGGCCAGTGACTAAGAATCCAATCCGATCCGATACAATCCCTTTCCTGCCGTCTCGCTCTGTCGTCTGCCTTCTGCTTCTTCTTCTCCTTCTGCCGGCGGAAATGCCGCGAATGTTTTTTGCACCAGCTGCTGACGCAAGCGCCAACTGCATTTGTCATAAACATGCAAAATGACAATAACAATTGCCCACTATCAGCGTGCGATAGGCGGTATTTTGGGGGAGGGATGTCTTTGGATATAACCTTTTAATGGGTATTTTCTATTATCTATAAACCATATTGGATTGCCTTATTTCTTTAGTGTCTGGATTTGCTTGGGCACCCTTTTAATGGGTATATCCCCCTCAGATCATTTATTTAACATTTTTGAGGCACCAAAATCGGTATAATCCCATGATTTAAGGATATATTGGAGGCACCAAAATGTCTTTTTTCTATAGTTTTTGGATATACTTGGGCACCCTTTTAATGGTTTTATCCCCCTCTGAAAGGTATCATCTCTGATGCACCAAAATTGGTGTAATCCAATGATTTAAGGATATATTTTGATTTATTTTAAGGGAAATAAACTTGAGTCTCTTACCTTTTAAGGGTAATTTTCTCCTATCAATCAATGGTATCTTTGAGGCACCAAAATTGTCTTCTTTCTATAAGTTCTGGATATACTTGGGTATCCTTTTAATGGATATATCCTAATCTGAGAAAATTTATTTGCCATCTTCGAGGCACCAAAATCGATATAATCCACGGATTTATGTACTAGTTACAATGTATCCGGATATATTTGGACTTAATTTATGGGAAATAAACTAGACCCGCCAAAAACCTTTATTTACCATATTGGAAGCACCAAAATCTGCTTATTCCTATGGTTTTCGGATATATTTGACACCCTTTTAAGGGTAACTTTTCCCTTATCAAAAGAAAAGGTTTAATTTTCCATTTTTCAGGCATTAAAACTGGTATAATCCTAAGTTTTATGGATTAATTACTATGTAACTGGATATACTTGGCACTTGTTTTTAGGGAAATAAACTTAATACCCTAAAAACCTTTATTTACCATCTTGAAGGCACCAAAATATCCTATTCCTAGGGATTATGAATCCAATCATAATACGACTTCTGGTGGATTCAATTTTCTCTTTAAAAGAACCCTTAATGATAGGACACTTACATAGTAAAACCACTTCATTCACTTCTCAAAAGGTTTTGTAAAACATGCACATCTTGATATTAAAGAACCCCCTTCTAATCCCCAATTTCTCCCCCTACAGGCATCTCCCGTTCGCTTGTCCCTAGGGTTTGTGGAACAGCCTCAACACGAATTACCTACCGTTTGCCCTGCAGCGGCGATCGACTGTGGTTGCCAGCGCCCCAGCGCCAGGATCTCTCTCCAGGATCCCGGATTCGCCCAGCACCACCAGCAGCAGCAGCAGCATTAGCATAAACCACAGCCAATCGAGCCAGCCAAACAACAGCGTCGGTTCCGATAGCCACAGCTGGAGGCAGCCATCCTGGCTGGACAGGAGCCCTTCGGCCACCACAGACGGATCGGGAACTATGTCCATGAGCACCACCTACGACATGAACAGCATGATTAGCTTGGACCACCAGCTGACGGACAAGGCGCAGCTGGTCAAGGAGGGTTGGCTGATGAAGCGGGGCGAGCACATCAAGACCTGGCGCCAGCGCTACTTTGTGCTCTTCTCCGACGGACGATTGATGGGTTACCGCAGCAAGCCGGCCGATAGTGCCAGCACGGCCTCGGATTCGCTGCTCAACAACTTCACGGTGCGCGGCTGCCAAATTATGACCGTGGATCGTCCCAAACCATTCACCTTTATCATCCGCGGCCTGCAATGGACCACGGTCATCGAGAGGACATTCGCCGTGGACTCGGAAATGGAACGCCAGCAGTGGACAGAGGCCATTCGCAATGTCTCCAGCCGGCTGAATGATGTGGGCGAGGTGGCCATGTCGCCTTCGGTTCAGACAGACATGACCGACGTGGACATGGCCGGCATTGCCGAGGTGGAGCTGTCCGAGCAGTTCTCCGTGCAGGGCACCACCTGCAACAGCAGCGGAGTTAAGAAAGTGGTAAGTACTAATCATGAGTGGACCTCGGATTTTGCTTATTTGCACATTTTTATAGGAAAAAGATAGATCAATTCCGAAAACACCAAAGTTCGTTTCAATAAAAATATAGTTTAAAATTAATGGCATATTTTATTTTTTTGGCATGCATCAAATATGAAAAATATATGCAAAATATGGAAAATATAAAATAAATTCAATTATTCAAGTTTGACCATTTCATAGCCAACCTAATTTACCGAAGAAAATTTTTTGTTCCATTTCGTCATTTCTAAAATATCAAATTTTTCCCAAATGTAAGGAAACCCTATTTATATTTTCAACGAGTAGGCGAGAAATTATGCATATATTGCATATATTTTTCATATTTTATGCTTATATTTGTTGCATATATTTTGCATATTTCCGATATGCATTCGAATTTATTACATTTGAAAAATATGACACCTACCTAAAAATGTTGGTAAAAATCGCACCAAAAATGGACAAATATGCTAAATCCGAGGTCTAATCATGAGACACTTACCAAGGGTATGATAAAGCTAACTCCTTATCTCTTTGCAGACTTTGGAGAATTTTGAGTTCCTAAAGGTGCTCGGCAAGGGCACCTTCGGTAAGGTTATCCTGTGCCGCGAGAAGGCCACCGCCAAGCTGTACGCAATTAAAATTCTCAAAAAGGAGGTCATCATCCAGAAGGACGAGGTGGCTCACACTTTGACCGAGAGTCGTGTGCTCAAGTCCACAAATCATCCGTTCCTCATTGTAAGTATAGTATTGTTTCTTTAAATCACCAAAAATATCTAACTTACAATCCTAATCTTTTGCAGTCACTCAAATATTCGTTTCAAACCAACGATCGCCTGTGTTTCGTGATGCAGTACGTGAACGGCGGCGAGCTCTTCTGGCATTTAAGCCACGAACGCATCTTCACCGAGGATCGTACCCGCTTTTATGGGGCTGAAATTATCTCCGCCCTCGGCTACCTGCATTCGCAGGGCATCATTTACCGCGACTTGAAGCTGGAGAATCTTTTGCTGGACAAAGATGGCCACATCAAGGTCGCCGACTTTGGTCTGTGCAAGGAGGACATCACCTACGGCCGCACAACGAAAACCTTCTGCGGCACACCGGAATATTTAGCTCCGGAAGTATTAGACGACAATGACTATGGCCAGGCGGTGGACTGGTGGGGCACCGGCGTGGTTATGTACGAGATGGTGAGTCCTAAGCATCCAGTTATCTATAAGTTTAATTTAATTTTGGTTTTATTTTTTATTAACGCTACAAGTACAAAAAATACTTATAAATTAAAGCGCTAGTCACAATTTGTTAGATTCATGAACACAATTAAATTTCTTAAGCTAGATGACATTACAAACATTGATTTCTTAAAGACTAAAGTTTTGTTTTAAATTAATTACTAGTTTGAAAATGTGTGTGTGATAATAAATACAAATTTATTTAACAGATCTGTGGTCGTCTTCCGTTCTACAATCGTGATCATGATGTGCTCTTTACATTGATTTTGGTGGAGGAGGTGAAATTCCCACGCAATATCACAGACGAGGCGAAAAATCTTCTGGCAGGCCTGCTGGCCAAGGATCCCAAGAAGCGTTTGGGCGGCGGCAAGGATGATGTCAAGGAGATTCAAGCACATCCCTTCTTTGCGAGTATTAACTGGTCAGATCTGGTGCTGAAAAAGGTATTAACTAGGGGATCCTCCTTACCTATAAATACTTTATAATTATTTATTACATTTTTACCCTAGATACCGCCGCCTTTCAAGCCTCAGGTCACGTCCGATACGGATACAAGGTACTTCGACAAGGAGTTTACGGGAGAGAGTGTGGAGCTGACGCCGCCGGATCCCACCGGACCGCTAGGCTCCATAGCCGAAGAGCCGCTTTTCCCGCAGGTAAGGTTTTGTCATCCAAAGTGCGTACACTTTATGCTCATTCGATTTCTTTCGGTTTCGCCGCCACAGTTCAGCTACCAAGGAGACATGGCCTCCACGTTGGGCACCTCGTCGCACATTAGTACTTCCACCAGTCTCGCATCGATGCAATAGAACACGTTTACAAACTTTTACAAGCACACATCATGTTCTGCTTCATCACCTATTACTATACTATACCTATACCATATAGAAATGGGCAAAAGAAAACAAAAAGCAAGAATATATTAAATAATAATTATACCATGATAACGAAGGCAAGCAAAGGGTTTTCTTGCTAGTTTATATACACCAATAATAAGAGAATTGAATTGATAGTAACTTATTTTTTTATAACGAGAACGAGGGAACGAAACGCCGGCAGCGGAAGCCGAGGAAAATAATATTTACTACATATGATTATACACATAAATATAACACAATATAACACTTGGGGCATTGCGCTTGAAGTGATTAGTTAATTTTAAACGCAAGTAAAACATTTAACCAAGCGGCTCGGTGGGATAAAGGCATGCATCCTAGCAGAAGCATCTTTTCGGGGCCGCCCAAGCTAATTGTTTATACAGATTATTCACGCAGACAGCACTCACACAGACACTTAGCATATAGCAAACATGAAGTTAAGTTAACTGAACAGCAACAAATCGAAATACACACATTCAACCCCGCCCCCACATGCAAAACTCGTATATATACATTATTTATACTCCAAAGAAGCAAAAAAAAGAAACAGAAATAATTACGAGTTATATATAATGTTAAAATTGCCTCTAATGTGCTGTGCTTTATGCAAAACTACAACAACAGAAACAGAAACAAACAAACTAATAGTTAATAAACGACGGAAACTTACATCAATGCAGTTTATAGGCGCCAATAATTAGCAAACAACTAAAACATATATTCAGGCAAAAAAATATTACGAAAACAGTAAGAGCAAGAAAAATAAATTACAATTGACGCCATTTTTTATTATAATTTTTTACGACAAAATATATTTGTACATATTTATAAAAAGCAAAAACCTTTAAAAAGAAAAAATCCAAAAAAAAAACATTCAAAAATTTAAAGTGTCAGGTGTCGGAAAATGGAAATTTCCATCTTGAGGCCACAGAAAAAGGTTTAACCTTTGACACAAGAAAAAAATGTATCTTTGTCATTTAGTTTTTGGCATTGAAAAGTTCATAACAAGTTTTGTATACTAAGAGCAAGTCAGGCAAAAAAAATATATATAAATCAACCACAACAGACTTACAAATAGTTCCAAGAGGAAAATTTAAAGAAAATTATATAAACAGAATAAAAAGTAAAAAGAAAACAAAGAATTTTTGATATTTTTATATGCGCAATAAAAACAAAAATCAAGAAAAAAACACAAAACGAAACAAAAGAGTTATTTTATATTTCGAAAAGAGAAGCAAAATAAATTTTTGTAAATAAAAATTATTAAATAAACTCAAGTTCGGGCATTTCAACTGAAAACAAAGAATTGAAAGCATAATCTCTCTTCTAAATGTTAAACAAAACCTATCAATCGATGAACACAATAAACAAACAAACAAAAAATCTAAAACGAAGCGATAAAGAAACGATAAAAATGCCAAAGAAGCGGCAGAGTTAGGTGGAGAACTCGAGGAGAACCGGGCTAGTTGAAGTCTTGGACTTGTGATGGTTCCGAATCATGACTAGGAACGAACTAACTAGCTAAAGCAGCTCAAGCAGGAGAGATATCAGATAGCTCCGATTGAACCCAGACTCTATATCTTTGAACAGCTTGAAGTTCCTTGCTTTCTGCTGCTCACCAAGCTTGCGGCTGACATCTAGGCTAGCCAATATCAATCTCAAATCGATCAAGCAATACATAGACAAAATATAGAACCCCCTAAGCATGGCTTACTAGACATACAACCAGAGGAACGATTTCAACCGACCCATAGGCCAGCTAGAGATCCATAGCAAAGATTTATAAAACTGTTAGGGACATCCGAAGCAAATTGAATACTAGCCTTAGTGAACGTGAACATCTCTAGTATCCCAAATCGAAGCATTTTCCTCCCGCCTACCGAAGGGGCAGGAAGAAGAAATCTATAAAAATAGTTGACTAAGTTTACTGATTTTTGTAAGACAATTTTTGATTTCGATTTATTAACACACACACTCACACGAACTGCAAACAACAATGTGTTCTAAAGAAAATAAAACAAAATGGTTTAAAAACATGACTATATATGAGAACAGAAACCGAGAGAGATATATCCAGTCAGATCGTAGATCAAGTCGAGCAACTTGAGTTGTTTTTTGTATTGTAGAAAGAAAAACATAACCCCCCCTGTTCCCAAAACCTAGATCCAAATCCAAATCCAGATCCAGAGACCCCCAGATACTAACCGAAAATTTGATTAGGCGTAATTTTTGATAGGCGAAACTGCGGATTTCGCACAGTTTTAATTAATAATAATATTAAATAATGATAATAACGACTAAGCTGATATATAAAACGATTCAAGATCGAACTAAAGCATACATATACACCACTATGTATATTCAAAGAGGACTAACATCAACTGAGCAGCAACCATGTAGATAATATACGATCTGCATAAGTACTATAACGATTACGATTAATTTATACGCGCTTACGCATACCAACATGCATACATTATGAGAATATATATATATATATATATACAGGATATATATACGATATAAGGTGTGTATGTATCTTATACATGCATTCAAAACCAAGTTTATTATACAGTGAAAACATAATAATAAAAGTACATAAAACCGATTAATATGAAAAGGTTTTTTTCTGGGAGGTTCAAAAGGTATTGAAAACTATGCTTTTCTCTATTTCTTTTGATGATTTCCTGGTTTATTAACTATCTTTAAGTTGTGCAACATAGTTGGCAGCTAACAGGCGTATAAACGTACGATAATTCACAGAAATTTCATAAGCTTCTTTTCAGATTACATAACTCGTGCGGAAATTCTCAGCCATAAGAATTCTTTTCACCTCATCCTCATCCTCTGGGAAAACTGGGTCAAGAAAACTATGCGAAAACGAGGGAACATCTGAAGTGGCTGGTGGAAATGGAGGAAGCAGAAAAGAAAAACCCACTGGACAAGCGCCAATGACCGACTTAAATATTCGGGAGCAGCAGCTGGACTTCAGAGGAGGAGGAGTATCTGTGGGCAGAGCGGTGCGTGCCAGGCCGCCCAAGCTCTCCAAGTTCTCCGATCCCATCGCCATTGCCAGGGGAACGCGAACAATGCGTTTTGTCCGATGATTAATTGCAACGCAATCTTGGGGGCCACAGAGTCGCGGACGCAGTGGAGGCAGCTTTCCCCCAACCTCGAGTACATATGCCATATACCTACCTACCTACTCGAATGTACAGACAGAATGTGTGTCGCTCCAGCCGGCGGATATAAGCGGATATGTAAGCGACACAAAGCTATTAATTTTTAGCAACTGCGCCCAACCAAAATAGCCGAGACAAAGCGAAGAAATTAAATTTCGAACGCAACGAAAGCGAAAGTGAATCAAAGTGAATCATTTGTGAACTTGAGATGGGTTTTATGGGCCTGTGGGTTGGGTTCAGTTCGCTTCGAGTTTGTTTCTGGGTTGGGTTGCATCCTTCGACCAATACCCACTGCACTATTGGCTTGTGATGATGGCAAGCCCTAAGTGCTTAGGAAAAGTGCGATTTGTACTTTCCCTTTTCGGCGGAACTGCCCAAGTTAAGTTGAGCTAAGCATCGGCGAGATGGAGAGCTTATGATGGATAAGACGACAAATGAAATGGCAAACACCGAATCCAAATGAAAGCCGGCAATGGAAAATACTGCAGTTGCAGCGAATGGTAGATGCTCTTGGTTATAATTAGTTAAAATATAATTAAACCTTATTAAAAAGTAAATAAAGAATATTATTTCTTGGTAATCAGTTAACTAAAACCTTGGGAAAACTCTATTATATTTTATTATATTTGTTCAAAATCAAAATAATTTAAATTTTTTTACAAATTAGAAACGTTTTTTCCCTTTTTTACAAAATATGACAACAACAAAATTGGTAATCAAAATATGTACAAGTAGAATTTTAAAAATGATTCACATATACCAATTTTAAACCATATTCAATGGTCTAAAAGATCCCTTAACTTTTTTATTTTTTCCTAATTTAAAACTTAAAATACCCCTTCGGTAACCCAATCAATATTGATAAAACTAACGAATGCTAATTAAAGACCCGTGCACTTGGGAAATCGGGTACGTTTTGGAAAATGTGTACCGAACCCATCATTGTTTTCCTACCAACTTATGAATGCCCTCGTCCCTCCAATGAGTTTTGTTGGGTTGGCAAGAGGGAAGCGGCTCGTTTGCTTTGTTCGCTACGCGCGTTTTTCGCGCTTTTCATTTGCCAAGCGATTTTTCTATTTTCACCTCCAGCTCTTCGCGGGCTCTCTTTGCTTTATAGTAATGTGAAAATTTCTGAAACTAGAAAAATAACAAACAACTATTTGTTGTTGCTGTTGGGCCCGAGCAGCAGCAGCAGCTTTTGCCTGGCATCGTGAGTATGTGCTGGCACTTAACAACTGCAGCACAGCATTGGAGTCTAGGAAAAGCGGAGAAGAAAAGTGAAATACATCAAGGCACGTCACATCCATCAGACATTTATGAGCAGCACGAGAGCACGCCCCACTCCAGAGCGGATCAGGTCTTGGACCAAGACGAGGTCCACCTAAAAACAGGCTTACAGCCAATCCATTCGAGCCGAAGCAGGCCCAAAAGCCCAGCCAAAGCGTGGCTAATGAATTGGAATTGTTCAAAGATCTGAAGGAGGAGTAGGGAGGAACCATAGCCTCCTGGTCTAAGTGTCGTCTGGCTGCAATCGAAATTAATGAAAAACTTTCGTTTATTTAATTGCACAGCCGCCCCAGACAAGAAGATGGCTCAGGGAAGAGGGGTTGAGGGACTGGTTTATGGGTTATGGCCATATCAAATCCATAGGGCAAGACCGACCATCCATCCAGCCATTCAGCTGGATCCAACTCAATCCAACATCGCATCGCTTGGACATCTGAGTGAAAATGATTGATTGATTGATCGGCGTTTGTTCGCTGCGTTGTTAATATTATTTGCCGCTTATATATAGCAATCGGCGACGCTGTTGTTACTCCTTTTTGGTGTAAGCCAAAGATTTGTTTGACTTTTTAGCGGGCAATTATTTATTTGTTTCGCGCATTATTCGCCGATTTCGCTGCAATTTAAGGGGATCACCAAAACATCCAAGCGGACAATCTTTGATTGAGGCTGATTGAGAGGAGGCTCTTCAGTAGCCCCGCCGTCTGTTCAATCGCATGGGGAATTGATGGCTCTCCAATCCGGTGGCTAATTGCCGCCGGAGTGCGGGAAAGTGTGGCG